TCCTAGCTACTTGGGAGGCTGAGGCAGGAGAATCACTTCAGCCCAAGAGTTTGAGGTTACAGTGAGGTATGATATCACCATTGCATTTCAGCCTGGGCAACAGACCCTGTCTCTGAAAAAAAGTAAAGACACTGTGAGCTGTCTACATGGACTCTGTGTCTCATGAGATTCATGTCCTGTAATTTTTCTAAATGGCATCTCTGTGTGGTTTTCATGAATGTGTGTCTGGTATTTCTTTCCTATCCTTTTACTTTCAGCTTTTCTGTACCTTCTGCTGAAATTATGGCTTTTGTAAATAGTCTATGGTTATTTATGGATTGACTTATTTTTCCCCCTCTGCACTATTTGTCTTGTCATTGGAGTGTGTGAGTCCATTATGGTTAATGTCATTGTTGGCCTCATTGGGTTTAAGTCTGTACATTGTCATCTGCCTTCTAATATTATCTCTTTTTCACTCAACTAGTTTTCTTCTGTTGCCTTCCTTAGATGAATAAAAAACTTTGCATTATTGTGGTCTTCTAAATAACTGTTCTAGTTTCAACTTCTCTTATTATTTCTTTAATTATCTGAGAAAGCACAATAATCCATGGCTTATTATAACCAACAGCAGACCGTAACTTCCCTGACTTCCACCTACCTGTGCAGACGGCCCAGGGAGAATCAGTGCTCTGGCTCTGAGACACAGGGGGTGGAAGCAGGAGAGTAACTGGGTGGTGAAGCTGTAGCTGCAGAGGCATCCGGGCCCCCCACCTGCACTCCTCGTAGATGTCTCCTCCACTGAATGCCTGCGATGCCCTCTCCTCCGTATGCTCCTGCCAGAGTCTCCCCGTCTCCACGGACAGCAGGTCCACCCTTCTACTCACTCAGTCCAACACCGTGGGTGTCCTTGATTCTTCTTTCTCACACCACAGATGCAATCCATTAGCAAGTGCTGTGAAGTCCATCTTCAAATTCATCCGGAATCCCATCACTTCCCACCATTTCCCCTGCTCACGCCCCAGTCAAGGTAACCAGCGTCTCCATCCTGGAATACTGCGCTCCTTCCCCAGCATTTCCCTACTGCCTCACTTGTCCCCCACCTCTCAATTCTGTTCTCAGCAAAGCAGCCAGAGAGAAGCTTTCAAAGGATAAGTCCCACCATGTCCCACTTTTCAAAACTGTCCTCTAACTCCCCATATAATTCATAGCAAATGTGAAAACCATCCCCACACCCTCCAGGCCTCCCTGCTCTGGCCACACCTCTGACCTCATTTCAGTTTCTCTCTGTCCAGCCCTGTTGGCCTCTTCCTCCTTCCAGGAACACAGACACTTTCCTGCCCTAGTGCATCTGCACTGAAGGTTCCTGCCTGAAAAGAGCTTTCCCAGTCATCCTTGTGGGCAGCTCCTCACATCCCTCAAATCTTCACTCAAAGGTCAAATTTACAAGGCCCATGCTGACCACCCAGCACAGCAGCCACCCCCCTGTCCCCACAGCCCACACTCTGGGTCACCTGCCCCACAGCACTTGCCACCTTCTAACTCAAGCATTTTCTGCTCTTTGCTTATACTATATCTATCATCTGTCTACAGAGGTATCCAATCTTTTGGCTTCCCTGAACCACATGGGAAGAAGAAGAATTGTCTTGAGCCACACATAAAATACACTAAAGACAGCTGATGAGCAGAAAAAGAAACAAGAAAAAAATGTATGTGCATAATTTTCATGTTATCTGCCACCACAGATAAGCAAAAATATCCTCATATTGAAAGCTGTCCGGGGCCACATGCAGCCTGTGAGCCACAGGTTGGATAAGCTTACATCTAGAACGCATACACCACAAGGCTGGAAATCCTTCTGTTTTTACTAAAATGTTTTCTAAATGCAAAAGCAGGCATATACATAGCAAACAACAAATGTCAGTTGAATGATCACTGTAGGGCACCTCCTTATTCTAAAGGCAATATCTTTATTAATGTAGCCTCAGGCCAAATGCTGTTTTGTGGCAGCTACAGAGCAATATCATCTCACACTGACATCAGTGCTGCCAGAGCTTTTCTCACCAGGGCTGTGTGTGTGCCCTCCCTCCCTTCCTCCTCCCACACCAACCCTCCTGCACGCTGCAGCACACAACCATATTTTTCTTTTCAGGAAAGATAACCCTGGGCTTATGGCTCCAATTTCCCAACCACATATGAATCTAAGTTAGACTCTGCCTTATAAATCCGTGAGTTTGGATTGGAGGCAGCACTAGGATTACTATGACTCAGGGCAGGAAGAAGAGTAGGAGAGAGAGCAGGAGTTCCAACAGAGTTACCTACTATGAGAAACTACTGGAGCCCTCCTCTCTGCAAGTATCAGAATCTGCTTCATTTAAGAAGGCTGGGGAAAAGATGGAAAATACAATCCAGGAAAGAGACCTGGAAGGAGGGCGAGAGGGACAGGGCTCTGAAAATTTCTCTCCTGATACCACAAGGACTTCTATATGTAGAGACCACCCTAGGTGACGCTGAAGTCCCTGTGATCACTGGCTGTGGTGGGACTAGCTTCTACTGAAGGGCCAAAGACAATGGAGCAGCAAAGATGACCCAGCCGAGCCGTGACCTCATAAAGCCCACAGTGGCCTGCACACCCACTGGGCACAGCCCCATCTACTCTCCACCCCTGCAACAAATCAGCACAAGAAACACGTGGACTGTAGAAGGTTCTCAGGTCTTCCATTTATTTTGTCTCTCAAATTTCAGGAATCTTTTCCTTTAATTAACCCATCAGTGTCTCATGGAAATAATTTCAAGAAGTAAATTACATTCACATTCTAATTTTAATAGGAAAGTAAGAAGTTACAGCTCAGTGCACCATGAAGTTGAGACAGAGATGGAGATATCCCAGCCCCAGGTCTCTGGAACAGGAAAGGTGACCGGGGAAGGAATGCAGGTGTGTGTGGGGAAGGGGGTCATGGTGGACTCGGGGCTGGGCTGGTCTCCCCACCTCCTCACACTATGCCTATAGGGACACAGACACATTCAGATGCTTTTGTAGTAAGAGAGGTCAGGGTTCTTGAAGTCACAAACAGAAGGTGTGGATAAATCATGACTCTCAGTCCCACACAAGGCAGCTGTCTCACACTATAAAAAAAAAATTCATTAACAAGTTTATATCAGTCACACTTTAAACAACTCATCACCAGCTCAATACATCCAAGTCAAAGAAACCCCATAACACAACTGTTCCCACTGTTCCCCCCAAAAACCCACACACATCAGCTCCCTCCCCTCCCAGGATCTCACCTTTACAAGCCGTGAGAGACACATCAGAGCCCTGGGAACTGTCGCTGCCTGGGGTAGAACAAAAACAGAACCTGGTCAGAGCCTACAGGAAATGCCGCTAGAGGAGGAATTGCTGGCTGGGTGAGCTCCCCCATGAGCTCCCGACCACAATACCAACGATCTCAGGGATCAGCCTCCTTCATACTTACTTGCAGCCTGAGAGTAGCTGCCTCCTTTTTTATCTGTGGGAAGAAAATATTCTGTGAAGGCTCAGAAAGGTGGCAAGGCCATGAGGTCCTAGAGAAACCTCCTAGTCTTGGACCCCAGAGAAGTTTCCAGAAATGTGTGCCTGCAGACTCAGGGAAGGATCAGGAAAAACAAAGAAAGCAGGTGTGGGTCCTGGAGCAACTACCCTCCTAAGGACTGTCCTCAGCAGGGACGTTCCCTTGTGACCTGTGACTGCTGAGATCAGGTTGACATCACCACAATCATGAAGGTGATACATCTGTCCTTCATTGTCACAGGTGCTTTACACAAGAGTAAGTGCTGGCACACAGGGCCCAGGCTGGGTAGGCTCATGAGTGTGGATGATGCTTCCCAGTAACCAGGCAGGGCACACTTCTACCTGGGGCTTGAAACCCTCAGTGGGACAAGAAATCTCAGACCCCACTCCTCACCCTTTCCTCACCTGAGCTCTTCTTCCTCCACATCACAGCAGTGACCACAGCTCCAGTGACTACAGCTCCAAGGACAACCAGGCCAGCAACGATGCCCACGATGGGGATGGTGGGCTGGGAGGGCGGCTCTGGGAAAGGAGGGGAAGGTGAGGGGCCCTGATCCCAGGTCCCAGCCCCCATCCCCAACCCAACTAAAGGTCTCCAGAGAGGCTCCTGCTTTCCCTAAGAGACATGACCCCCCCTTCCCCTCCTTACCCATCCCCCTCCTTACCCCATCTCAGGGTGAGGGGCTGGGGCAGCCCCTCGTGCTGCACATGGCATGTGTATCTCTGCTCCTCTCCAGAAGGCACCAACACAGCCGCCCACTTCTGGAAGTTTCCATCCCCTGCGGGCCTGGTTTCTACGAGCTCCATGTCCTGGGTCTGGTCCTCCCCATCCCGCTGCCAGGTCAGTGTGATCTCCGCAGGGTAGAAGCCCAGGGCCCAGCACCTCAGGGTGGCCTCATGGTCAGAGATGGGGTGGTGGGTCACGTGTGTCTTGGGGGACTCTGAAGGGAAGAGTCAGAAAATTCAGACATCTTGCATCTCTCATGGGACACTGCTGCAGCACCCATGTGACCATCCTGAGAATGGACAGGACACCTGGGGTGGGGAAGGGAGTGCAGAACCCAGACACCAGCCTGGACACAGGCACCTGGGATAATGTCCTGTTCCTTGGAAAGTTCTAGTCTCTGAGTGGGGAACAGGGACTTCTGGTCCTGATCTGAGTGGAGGCCAAGGGACTCAGAGGAGCTGGAGTCAGAACCCCGCACACATTGAGTGTGAGGCAGAGGACAAGGCAGGAGAGGAAAAATCCTGGTGCCCAACGCTGCTGTGGGGTCACAGGAAACCCTGATCAGTATTTCAGGGATTGACTTCCCCTCCTTTCCCTCAGAGACTGCAACCCTTAATTGTATCAGAGAACAGGGCAGGCTCTCAGACTCACTGTCTGGTACAGGATCTGGAAACCCAGGATTCCTCTCCCTCAGGACCGGAGGGAGGGAGATATTCTAGTGTTGGTCCCGTTTTCCTCCCCTCCTTCTACAAGGCCAGCCTGGGAGGTCTACAGGCGGTCAGGGAGGTGACCCCGGCCCTCGTACCCGCGCGCTGCAGCGTCTCCTTCCCGTTCTCCAGGTATCTGTGGAGCCACTCGATGCATCTGCCCTCCAGGTAGGCTCTCATCTCCTCAGCCCAACTGGCCGCCTCCCACTTGCGCTGGGTGATCTGAGCCGCCGTGTCCGCGGCGGTCCAGGAGCGCAGGTCCTCGTTCAGGGCGATGTAGTCCTTGCCGTCGTAGGCGTACTGTTCATACCCGCGGAGGAGGCGCCCGTCAGGCCCCAGGTCGCAGCCACACATCCTCTGGATGGTGTGAGACCCTGGCCCCGCCCCCGCGTCAGCCCCGCCCATTTTCAGTTTGGGCAAAAGTCCCCGTCCCCGCCCCACCAACCCGCGGGGATTTTTGGCCTAAACTGAAAATGAAACCGGGTAAAGGCGCCCGAGTTTCTCCCGGGTCGAGGGTCTGGGCGGGTCCGGCAGCCTCGGGGTGGCTATTGGGCCCGGAGACTCGGGGCGACCCGGTCCGTCCGTGGGGAATGTGGAGGGGTGGTGACCTGCGCCCCGGCAGGGGTCACTCACCGTCCTCGCTCTGGTTGTAGTAGCTGAGCGCGGTCCGCAGGCTCACTCGGTCAGTCTGTGCGGTGTCCTTGAGGTTCCGTGTGTTCCGGTCCCAATACTCCGGCCCCTCCTGCTCCATCCATAGCGCCCGCGGCTCAGCTCTCGGAATCGCAGCGTCGCTGTCGAACCGCACGAACTGCGTGTCGTCCACGTAGCCCACGGAGATGAAGCGGGGCTCCCCGCGGCCGGGCCGGGACACGGAGGTGTAGAAACACCTCATGGAGTGGGAGCCTGGGGGCGAGGAGGGGTGAGACCCGCCGGACCCTCCACCCAGCACCCCTTCCCGGGTCCTGCGTCCCCGCCGGGCGGCCCCTCGCTTCTCCCCGCAGAGGCCGTTTCCCTCCCGACCCCGCACTCACCCGCCCAGGTCTCTGTCAGGGCCAGGGCCCCCGAGAGCAGCAGGAGGAGGGTTCGGGGCAACATGACCCCATCTTCAGTGTCTGGGGAGACTCTGAGTCCGGGTGGGTGACTGGGGACTTTAGAACGGGGAGCGCGGCGACGCTGATTGGCTTCTCTAGAAACCCGGCACCCAATGGGAGTGGGAACTGGGTTCGCGTCATGAGTATCCAGGATGAAGGACCCGACACAGGTTGGGAGAGGAAGAGAAACGCTGCAGAGATGGGGAATCCCCAATACTGCGCCTCCCCAGTGCGGACACTGCCTTCCGGGCCTGAGACCCTGAGAGCCACGCCTGAGCCCTGGGACTTCGCCCTGACCCCGCTCCTCCTGTGCCAAGCGCTCTGTCTCAATGTCTCCCTGAGTCTGGGCCCAGGAACTGCTGAGAAACCATAGAGAGAAACCCTCAGCATGGGCCCCGTCCTCCCTCCACGTTTCATCCCGGAATCCCCGTCCCTGAACTGGACTTCCTCCCTCCTGCTCCTTACCTGTCCCCCTGGACTCTTCTAGAAGAAAACTCACCCCAGGAAACTTGCTGCCAGAGAGTGAGCTCGCCCTGGGAATGGAGGTGTAGAGACAGGGTTTGTTTGTTTGTTTGTTTGTTTCTTCAAATCTGGAAAAATTTTGCCTGAGAGCATGAGATAGCATAGAGACAAGTTTACTTTTTGTTTGTTAATTACAGTGGGTAGCAGAATCTTGGTAACCCCTGAATGATCAGGAACCTAATCGGTTAAAAATGTGACTTTGGCCCATTGATATATAAATGTGTCTAAAAGCTCTCATCTGAGACAAGGCAAGAAAAAATAGACAAACAAGTAAATAAATAAATAAAAGCATCGCAACAGGATCACAAAGCTCCTGTTTCACCTTCCCAGACAATGTATCTGTGACTCCCACTTGATGTATTTTAAATATACCTTAATTCCACAGCCCTGAGTTTCTGTGTGAGTCCAGGACATCTCCTCAGTACAAAGTACACACTGTGTTACTGTATGTTGCAACCAGGAGCCAGTACAGACTTCATTCACCTCACAGTCGCAAGTGTTCAATGCAGTCACAAGGCCCCCCACCAGTGCTCATGCACTGCCTGTTTTTAGGAAGTGTCCACATCTAAATGGTGTGTTTATTTTATAGGAGCACTTAGTATTTTTTAAACCTGATTGACATAAGAAACAATTAGTCTTTAGGCAGACCTACATAAGGTATTAAAGCTCAGCTGCAAGGAACACCCTGCTAGCCTCTGTAGATGGATGTATTAAAAATCTATAAAACAATGTGTTTAAAACTAAGAATTCTGCTTCTTTTGAACTCCTTCCCTCTGCTGCTTTTCCTCACCTCCTGCTTCTCCAGCCCTTCCCTCCATCCCTCTCATCCCTCAGGCCCTCCTCTCCCTTAGTCCCCACCACCCTGTCAGTCCTGAATAGTGGCTCTAGCACTGTCCCATTACCTGCTACATGACTGTTCTCTCCACAGTGGTCCTGCTACTGTGAGTCAGAGTGTCTCATTTCTCACGATAAAAAACTCCAGTGGCTCCACCTCAGTCTTGTGAAGCTTCTAGAACGTCAAGCACTTGTGCAAGTGAGGGCATACTTGGTTTAGTGTAGGACTAAATTAATTTTTGTTGACTGAATGATTAAAATATGAGTGTATTAAAATGGACCACAGAAAATTACAAAATGTAAGACACTGAAAACGTTAAGCAAGATTTTATTTTATGTAACTAGTGTGTATATCAATTCATCAATTCATTCTATGAGTCTGTTGAGCCTGTGTATGAATTTTATAAGACTGTATAACAAATTATTACAAGCATTGGCTTTAAAAAACAACTTTATTGTTGATTTATTTATTTTTAGAGACAGAGTCTCCCTCTGTCATCCAGGGTGAAGTGCAGTCACATGATCATGGCTCACTGCAGCCTCAAACTCCTGGGCTCAAGGGACCCTACTGCCTCAGTCTTCAGAGCAGCTAGGACTGCAGGCAAGTGCCACCATGCCCAGCTAATTAAAAAAAAATTGTAGAGACGAGTGTCTCACTACATTTTCCTGGCTGGTCTCAAACTCCTGGCTGCAGGTGATCCTCCTGTGTCAGCTCCTCAAATGTTAAGATTACAGGTGTGCACTACCATGCCTGGCCTAACACCACTCATTTATTTGTTTATAGTTCCTTAGTCAGAAGTCTGGGCAAGATGTGGATGGAATCTCTGTTCTGGGCTTCCCAAAGCTGTGTTTTCATTTTGATTCCTCCTTCAGGCTTATACAGAGGTGGCAGAATGCAGTTTCTGGCAGTTGTAAGACTGGGGTCGCTGTTCCTTGCTGGCTGTCAAGGTAGAGAACAGGGAGGGCTGTGTTCAATTCCTGGTGCCCACCAGCGTTCTTGCCTGAACAGCCCATTCATTTTCAAAGCCCACAGTGGAGGAAACCACTCATGCTGAATCCCTCTCACACTGTGAATCTCTATGCTCACGAAAGACCCAGTCCTTTCCTAGGCTCACCTGTTTAGGGCAGTCCAAGCAGGATAAACCCAGCCTAAAATCAACTAATTGAGGCCCTTAATTATATCTGCTGAATCCCTTCACAGCAGCACCTACATTAGAGTTGGGTGAATAACTGGGGGAAGGTGCATGACCAGGAGGTCGTTGTTGGGGGCCATCATAGAATCAGCCTAGCAAGGATTTTATCTTCCTTTTGTGTTTAATTGAGACACAGTTGGAAATTGAAGTTCAAGTAAATTGATCATTGTGAACGGGAATAAAATACATCCTCTTCAGCCATGGAAATTCTCCTTACCTTTTACAACTAAGTTACATGTTTAATATCTTATAGCTAGTTTAGGTCTGGTGTGGTGGCTCACGCCTGCAATCCTAGCACTGTGGAAAGCAGAGGAAGGCAGATTTGTTGACTCCAGAAGTTCAAGATCAGCCTAGGACACACGGTCAAACCCCCATCTCTACAAAAAAAATTTTAGAAAATTAGCCAGGCATGGTGGCTCGTGTTTGTAGTCCCAGATACTCAGGAGGCTGAGGTCACAGGATCCCTTGAGCCCAGGAGGTCGACACTGCAGTGCATGGTGATCATGCCACTGCACTCCAGCCTGGGTGACAGAGAGTGACCCTGTCTCAAAAATAATAATAACGATGATGATAAATTTAGAGCAAATGGAAATTAATGTGTAATAATATATCCTCTCTTGTCAAAATTAGTTATTTGCTATTGCATAACAAATTATGTAAAACTTAGCAGCTCAGAACAACAAATATTCATCATCTCCCACAGTTTCCAAAGTTCAGGAACCCAGAAGAGGTTTTCCTGAGTGCTTCTGGCTCAGTTCCTCTCACAAGGTTGTAGTCCAGTTGTCAGCCAAGGGCTGCATCATCTGAGCGTTTCACTGGGGCTGAGGATTCACAGGAAACATGGCTCAGTCACATGGCTGTTGGAAAAGGCCTAGTTTCTTGTTGTCTGGTCTCAGAAGTCCTCAGTTCTTAGCCACATGGACCTTCCTGCAGGGCTGCTTATGGGACAGCAGCTGGCTTCCCCCAGAGCTCACGATCCCAGAGACAGAGAGAAAGTAGAAGCCGCAGTAAGTTTTACGTTCTACACCCAGAGTCACGAACTGTTATGTCAGCATTACTCTATCTGTTAGAGGTTGTACTAGCTGGTTCTCACACTGCTATAAAGAAATACTCGAGACTGGGTTATTTATAAAGGAAAGAGGTTTAATTGACTCAGAGTTCTGCATGGCTGAGAAGGCTGCTACAAGAAACTTACAATCATTTCAGAAGTGGAAGCAAACACATTCTTCACGTGGTGGTAGGAGAGAAAAATGCAGAGCATAGGATGAAAAGCCCCTTATAAAACCATCAGATCTCATGAGAATTCACTCACTGTCATTAGAACAGCGTGGTGAGGGCAGGCGTGGTGGCTCACGCCTGTAATCCCAGCACTTTGGGAGGCCGAGGCAGGTGGATCACAGGATCAGGAGTTCGAGACCAGCCTGGCCAACATGATAAAACCCTGTCTCTATTAAAAATACAAAGATTAGCCTGGCATGGTGCCTTGTGCCTGTTATTCCAGGTACTCAGGAGGCTGAGACAGGAGAATTGTTTGAACCCAGGAGGCAGAGTTTGTGGTGAGCTGAGATTGTGCCATTACATCCCAGCCTGGGCATCAGAGTGAGTTTCCATTAAAAGAAAGAAAGAAAGAAAGAAAGAGAGAGAGAGGGAGAGAGGGAGGAAGGAAGGAAGGAAGGGAAAGAGAAAGAAAGAAGGAAAGAAAGAGAACAGCGTGTGGGAACCGTCGCCGTCATCCAATCACCTTCGATGTGGTCCCTCCCTCAGTATTGGGAGATTGCAATTCACATGAAAATTCAAGATGAGATTCAGGTGGGAACACAGAGCCAGGCCATATCGGAAGTGCATCGTTAAGTTCAAGCCACACTCAAGAGAGGAAAGTAAGCTGCATGTCTGGAAGGGAGCAGTATTAAAGGATTTGCATATATGTTAAAGCAAAATTAAAGGTATTATTTCAGAATTTTGTAAATCAAAGCCTTCTTTTATCTAATTATTGTTCTTTCATATGGTTTAAGCTTGTCTTTTAATTTAATTTTAAATACTGCTTTACCCTTGAATTTTAATTTTATTTTATTTTAAGTTCTAGGGTACATGTGCAGGATGTGCAGGTTTGTTACATAGGTAAACGTGTGCCATGGTGGTTTGTTGCACCTATCAACCCCATCACCTAGGTATGAAGCCTGGCATGCATTAGGTATTTTTCCTAATGCTGCCCCCCACCTCCCACCCACAACAGGCCCCAGTGTGTGTTGTTCCTCTCCCTGTGTCCATGTGTTCTCATTGCTTAACTCTCAATTACACGTGAGAACATGCGGTGTATGGTTTTCTGTTCCCGTGTTAGTTTGCTGAGGATAATGGCTTCCAGCTTCATCCATATCCCTGCAAAGGACTTGATCTCATTCCTTTTCAGGGCTGCAGAATATTCCTTGGTATAGGTGTACCGTATTTTATTTATCCAGTCCATCGTTGATGGGCATTTGGGTTGATTTCATGTCTTTGCTATTGTGAATAGTGCTGCAATGAACATATGCATGCAGGTATCTTTATAATAAAATGATTCCTATTCCTTTGGGTATATACCCTGTAATGGGATTGCTTGGTGAAATGGTATTTCTAGTTCTAAATCTTTGAGGAATTGC